TCAACAATTTGCAGCTTTGGAGAACCTCAAATTTTATTAAGATAAGRATGAATTGCATAAGGATTTAAAATTGCATAATATATATTCTTATATTTGATACAATTTAATGAAATAATTAAGGTGCATGCATGAATAATTCTATTAAAGTAGTAGATATAAGCAAATGTAAATAAAAAGGTAATCCGAGGGAATGAATATAGCACGGTACATTTTGGGTCTACTTTCAAAATGAAAAAGTAATGAATATTTGGATCAAACTAGTTTTAAAATGTAAATTTGAAAACGTAGTACTCATACCACATGATTGATGTTGTACTTCATGTGACAGAATTAGCTCATCTCACTACCATGGAGAAGTTGGATTTAAGTGTTAATATGCTAAATGGCACACCAAGTATTCAAGGTAACTTTTGCATACTTCAAAATATAAAGCTCCCAAACGATAATTATTTCTTAATTCTTCTMTAAGTATAAATTCTAGAAGGAACACAAATGATTTCTTTAAATTAAAGTATCTTCTTTTTTTCCACAGATTGTAGAAGATTATCAAGATTGAAAAAGTTGGAGAGTGTGACTCTTGGTTATAACAAATTCAACAATGGCATCATTTCATGCTTAAGTACTATTCCATTCCTCAAGACTCTTGATCTTTCATGGAATTGGTTCGGAGGTTCCTTCCCCATCCAAGGTATGTTCTTAAATACAAAAAGTCATCTTTACTTGTAATACCCTGAAAGCGGGTTTGAGAGCTCGCCTACCCTTTTAAGAGCTTTCCTGATTTCTCACTTTCCCACCCTTCACTACATAACCACCACCACTCCACGCTTTTGAGGAAAAAAAAACATTGATGGCTAAAGGGTGAGGAGTTCACATAACCTATTTTGCAAACTCTGTGGTTATTTGTAAAAAATTCGAAATGTGATAAAACGCGTCTTAAAATGGCTATTTTAGTGATTAACCTTTATTGTTATCTATTAATTTGTCATTCTAATTTTCTATTTGTGTGCAAAATCATTTGTGTTGAAAGAGTTGCAGACCCTTGACTTGAGCCATTGTGACCTTGAGTCACCAAAATTTAATGGTTGGATTGTTAAAAAGTGTTCATAAAAAAAACAGCCACAATGTACGATATTTATAAGGACTATGTGATCAACAAAATCAAGAACTTCATTTGTCATGTTCCGTTCTTGTTACATACATCGATTATCGAGTAACGATTCTCGTATGAATATKTGGATCAAACTTGTGGAACATGATTAATTTATGATTTATTTCACGTGACAGAATTAGCCCATATGACTAACCTCGAGAAGTTGGATTTAAGCTGGAACATGTTCAATGACACACCAAGTATCCAAGGTAAAAGGAGAGCTAGCCATGGTATCTTGTGCATACTTCAAAATATAAAGCTCTCAATTCATAATTAAATGCGCCTTTTTTTTCCACAGATTGTAGAAGATTGTCAAAACTGAAAAAGTTGGAGAGTGTAACTCTTCGCTATAACAACTTCAACAAGACCATCATTTCATGCTTAAGTGCTCTCTCATCCCTCAAGACTCTTGACCTTTYAGAGAATWATTTGCWARGAGATTCMTTTCCCATCCGAGGCATGTTCGAAAAGACTAAATTTAATCTTTAGTATCATCWATTACTTTTGTCATTCTAATTTTCCTTTTATATGCAGAATTATCTGGCTTGAAAGAGTTGGAGACACTTGACTTGAGCTATTGTGGGCTTGAGTCACTAATGCTAAATGGTTAGATTGTTAAAGCGTGTTGTTAAATACTAATCTTTATATAATTTGGAAAAATTGAAATAAAAAGTAATGCATTTGATGTGGATTCCAATTGGATGAGTAGTTTTATTGAAACAAAAAATAGTAACGTTATACAAATTTGAAATCCATTAAATCCTCATATGGCTTACGTCTCTCTTTCTCTATTTCAGGAATGTCTCCTCTTCCTCTTCCTCATTTGAAATTGAAAACCCTTCTTTTGAGGGGTAATAATTTCAATGGAACGCTGCCAATGGAAGGTAAGCTTTTTACCTTAATTCCCTCGTCACATTCTTATTGCTTTTCAGAGATATATCAAATATTAATCTCCAACAACTTATCAACAAATCTTTGACAACTTCAAAGAGAAATGTTTTAAAAAATCTAACCAAATATCCCATTTGGATGAGTAAATCTTTAAACTTTTTTTTGATTAAAAAAACTATTAAAGTTTCTTTTTTTGAATGAACAAATCATTAAACTCTCTCATTTTGATTGATTAAGTCCCTGAACCTTTTTTAAAAACAAATCATATCACTTTAAAAATCGTTTACCTACATCTTTGTTAACCCAAAAAAAGTTACATTAACCGATTAGTAAATTTCGATGATTTATTTATTTAAAAAAAATAGTCCACATACTTAATTATTCAAAATGAGAAAGTTTAATGATTTTTTCATTTAAAAAAAATAGTTTAAGAACTAAATCATCCAAAATGAGAAAGTTTATTGAGTTTTTTTGGATTTTTCCCAACTTCAAAATATATGAGATGCATGAGATTCATCCTAAGTCAATAATTTAAAATAATTAAAATTATTAATCAGAGAGATTACTAAGAAGATAATTATCGTTATTTATTAAATACAAATAAATTGCATTTTTTTGAAAATTTCATTCACTCTTCTATCTCTCATCTCCGTATTAACATACAMACCGTGTACACAATGTAAACAACCTTAATATTTTTTCTACTAGATTGTTCATAAGGTTCACATTGTATTCACAAGTGGTATGTTAAGATTTATTTTTATTGATTTGGTTTGTGTTCACAATATGTTCATCTTGTAGATTTAGAACGTATTCATGATATGTTGATAAACTATAATAGTATTTCTAAGAAAGTGTTCACCTTGAGTTCATATCAATTATGTATATGTACATGTTACTATTGAGTTGAGAAAATTAAAAAAAAAAAATTACTAACGTGGATAGAGAAAATACGAGAAAATTAGGAAAAAAAAATCATGGAGGAGGATAGAAGGAGAGAAGGAGAGAAATTTTAATTTATTATTAAATTTTATTTTTCAACTAATTAAATATGTGTGTAAATTGAATATCACAAATTAGTAAGTCCATAAAATTAAAGAAACCCCCATATATACGTGTAATCCTCTCTTGTTGTCATCCAGCTTTGGCATCTTTCAGCCATCTTGAAGTCTTAGATTTGGGAGGGAACAATTTTTTCGGGAGCATCCCATCAACAATACAAGCATTATCTTCCCTTCGAGCTGTCTCGTTTGCTTACAACAATCTCAACGGTTCGTTACCTGACCAGGGTAAGTTACCTAGAGCATGCACAATTAACTATTAGGATTGTTTAAAACCAATATATAAATTTGGACTTGATATATTATAGCTACATTTGTATGCACCTTTAATAACTTTACATTTGTCAGATGCTTAATCTTTTTGAAGCCGTATGACTATGCAAGCGCAAGTCAATARAGGATGAACCATGATTCTTTCTCTTTTGGCAGGTTTATGTGAGTTGAACAACCTGCATGAGTTGGATCTTAGTTGGAACTGGTTTGATGGAAACCTGCCTCAATGTTTCAGTAGGCTATCTTCTCTTAAGCTGTTGGATATTTCTACAAATCAATTCAGGGGAACACTTCTGCCATCACTGATTGCCAATCTCACATCTCTTGAGTATGTTGATTTTAGTAATAAYAGATTTGAAGGTTCATTCTCATTAAGCTTGTTCTCCAATCATACAAAGCTTGAGGTATTTAGATTCGTGTCCAACAATAACAAATTCGAGGTTGAAACGGAAGAGCCTATGGGTTGGATTCCAATGTTCCAATTGAAAGTTCTTGTGCTACCTAGTTGCAATATAAACAGGCCTAAAGGAAGTGTCGTTCCCAGGTTTCTACTTCACCAACGCATGTTGCACGTCATAGACCTATCTCACAACTCCTTGGTGGGAAAATTTCCAAATTGGTTAATTGAAAATAATACAATGCTAGAAGCTCTCAATCTAAGGAATAACTCTCTTACTGGTATTATGTGTATGCCACGGTATAGGAATGCTAACACGAGGTGGTTGGATGTGTCTGAAAATCACATGAATGGTACTATTCCGGCTGACATACAAAAGTTGCTTCCCAGTATAAGATACTTAAATTTGTCAAGCAATTCCTTAGATGGCGTTATCTCATCTTCGATTGGTGATATGAGACAAATATGGGGATTGGATTTATCAGACAATAAGTTCTCCGGAGAAGTACCGAAGGCATTTTTTTCAAATATCACTTACTTAAGGATATTGAAACTATCAAAGAACAGATTACAGGGTGAGGTACTTTCAAGAAACATAAGCTTGGGTCATATTGAGAGGCTTGGCTTCAATAACAATCATTTCACAGGGAAAATTGGAAATTGGACCTTCCAGAATCCTTATATGGAGAGTTTGGATATTAGCAATAATCTTTTCACAGGTACGATCCCCCGTTGGATAAGTGATGTGATGATGGACAACTCTGAACTTATAGTGAGCAATAATGGGTTTGAAGGCTCGTTTCCTTGCGGAACAACTTCATTCTCGTTTCTCGATATCTCACATAATTCTTTCTCAGGCCCGATCCCATCTTGCTTGGATTTCCAAGCGATGACACATCTTCATTTGGGTTCCAACAGATTCATTGGACCTATACCCAATGCCTTTCAMAATTTGACTAGTGTTTTAACTTTGGATATAGGTTACAACTCCTTGTCAGGAAGGATACCTGAATTTCTTGGTAATCTATCCTATTTAAGGATTCTTATTTTGAGAAAAAATAATTTTAGTGGTTCTATTCCGAAACCATTGTGCCAGTTAAGTAATGTGAGTTTGATAGACTTATCGAGTAACTCTCTTTTTGGTTCAATACCGAGCTGCCTACAAAAGATTATGACCTCTGTCTACCCTGCTTTCGAACTAAAAGTGCAAAGTTCACACGGTATGTCACTATCTTATGCCTATCATAGTGTTATTTATAGATACACATATGATGGCAGTTATAGTCCGACATCATTTCAAGCACAAGATGAGGTTTACTTCACAACAAAAGCTCTTTCTCACCCTTACAAAGGTAGCATCCTTGATTTGTTGATGGGATTGGATCTATCTTGTAACAAACTAACAGGTAAGATCCCAAAAGAACTAGGGTCGTTGAACCGGATTTACTCTTTGAACCTGTCTCATAATCAGTTGACTGGAACCATTCCAATGCAGTTCTCAAATCTTGAAAAGATAGAGAGTTTGGACCTTTCTTCAAATTGGTTGAGAGGCGAAGTTCCACCACAATTGATTAAGCTTACTTTTCTATCCGTTTTCAATGTTTCTCACAACAATCTATCTGGTAGACTCCCTGAAATGAAAGCACAATTTGGTACCTTTACCAAGGCRAGCTATGAAGGGAATCCACTTCTTTGTGGACCACCACTCGATAAGAAATGCATGACTACGTCATATGTGAACGATCCATCGACTAAAGATGGCAGTGATAAATGGTATGATATCGATATGGCTTTCTTCTATGGAAGTTCTGGTTCGACATGGGTTGTGTTCTTGTTGGGATTTGTTGCGACTMTTTACATCAATCCTTATTGGCGTAGAAGGTGGCTAGACGTGGTTGAAGAATGTATGTATACTTGTTATTATTTCCTTGAAGATTCTGTATGTAAGGTCTCTATGCTCTTTCGTAAATAAACTTATTTGAGAATGTGTGATAGAATAAGCCGAAACCAGAGCTCCTATGTATTTGCAGTACTCTTCCAATTATGAGCAGATCACATGATTATGAAAAATGGTTTCCCCTGATAATTGTTTCTCCAATTTCCTAGAATGAATTTCAGGATACGATTTTGACCTTAGATGGTCTGTCATTACTTACACCAAACAGAGCCATGGACGGACGTGCAGGCACAATTTGGCACCTTAAATGAACTCAAATTAATTCATGATCAAAGCTAAGACCTTTGTTAATTAGGATTTTAAAGTAGCAAATACCTGTCACGATCATGCAGTTACATATTTGGTTTAAGAGTTCCATCACAAATTAGCTATAGGTATAATCCATGTTGCCACTGTGTAACCAAACTAAAATAAAGAAAGACGAAAAACAAAAAGGAGAATAATATTACTGTTGGATTCACTTTATTACAATGAAAAGTTGAATTCCATAAAAAATAACAAGTATTAATGTTTGATGAGATTCTTTATATTAATTCTCATGATTCAACGAATAAGCGGTGGTTATACCAAAGCTACATTGAAATCATATATTGGTGTTGCTGGTGTCTTCTCCCTACGGAGACTCATCATGGGGCTAAAATTTAGTAAACAACATGTTTTTAATTTCGTAATTGATATTTCAAAGTCGCTACTATATTTTTGTGTTTAAAGTACAGAAGAATGTCTGTCCAAAAGTTTGAGAAAACATCGAGATGTTGGATATCACCAACGGTAAAAAAAAATAATCATTTGTACTCTATTATATAATGAATGGGGTTTAAGGGAAACACAAAAAAAAAAAGATCGAGGAACAAAATTAATAAACCATTATTTGTACAGTATGTACATATGCATTTGTAATTGTATGCACATGTGCACACTATATTGATGAATAGTTATTATGGTGTTTTTTATGCTGTTACGGGTTCCTCTAAACATGACCGCTTATATAATATTTAAATTTTATTTCATTAAAAACTTTTAAGAATACAAATACTAAAGCATTATATACGAATCAATAATCCATATAAAATCTTTCATTATATTCGTATTTTGTCCTTATTTAAACCTTAAAACATGGTTTTTGACCTTGTCTAATTTCATGATACCTAGATAGATTTCGGTCGAACTATTACTTAAAAAATAAACTATCTGAAGTTTTATCCAAGAATTTCATATTGTTTCTGTTTATACACGAAATTCCCCAACATCATGGAAATCAGACCACTCTGTTTTTCTATTGTTGGGCAGGACTCTGCAAGTTCAAGAATCTCTGTCAGTTAGATCTAAATGATAACAAGTTTGAAGGAGATCTGCTTCCATGTTTCAGCAGTTTGTCATCTCTTAAGTTGTTTGATCTTTCTCTAAACCAATTCAATGGAAACATTTTGTCTTAGCTGATTTATAATCTCACATCTCTCGAGTACATAGATAACAAGTTTGAGGGTTCATTCTCAAAGGGCTCATTTTTCAATGACACAAAACTTGATTAAGAATAATACAAGGCTGGAATATCTTAACCTATAGAAAAATTTCTTTGGTGGAACCATTCGATTGTCACCATATTGAAATGTTAATACATGGTGGTTGGATATGTCAGCTAATCACTTGATTGGTACAATACCTCCTGATATCGGAAATATCCTTCCATATATAACCAATCTGAACTTGTCCCCTAATTCTTTGGATGGTCTTCTTTCCTCTGTCAATGGGTAATCTGAGTTGTTGGATTTGTCTAATAATAAATTCTCAGGAGAAGTACCAAAGAGATTGCTTACTGATTGTCCACGTTTGAATACTTTACATCTATCTAATAACAAATTGCAAGGAGAGGTACTGTTAGACAATAACCTGTAGTATAGGGGTGCTCACAAATGAAACTAAAAGTGTCTACTTTCATATGTTGGTTAAAAGTAGTAACTTGTTTTTAGGTGTAAGTGCTTCCCGAATGGATGAGCAACACGGAAGACTTGTGGGCACTTGACATAAGAAACAACATGTTTGAAGGCCAATTTTGTTGCTGGAAGCTCAATTCCAGTTTTTTGACATCACACATAATTCTCTTTGGCTCCATCTCATCTTGCACGAATATGCAAAGTATGGAGCATCTCCATTTGAATTCCAAAAGATTCACTGGATCAATACCTTAATCTTCCCGTAATCTAACAAATCTTTTGGCTTTGGATATGGGAAACAACAAGCTATCAGGCAGGATTCCAAACTTTCTAAGTGAACTCTCCAGTTTACGGATCCTCTTTCTGGGAAAAAATAATTAGTGGTTCTATTCTTAAGAAGTTGTGCAGATTAAGGAATGTGAACATGATAGATATAACTAGTAATTCCCTATACGTGGATGCTTACAAAATATTATTGACCCTGGCTTTTCAGCTTCATATGATGTTATTTTTATAATTGATCACAAGTTCTCAAAAATTTCCAGTATAATGGAGTTCTAGTGAAAGAAGTCAAAATAGATAATTCCTTCAAGTATTTAATCAAGGGTAGAGGAATCCTTGATAACATTCGGGGTTGGATTTATCTTGCAACAATTTGACACATAAGAACTCAGACTATTGATTCACATATGTGTTTTGAACTTGTCTCACAATCAACTCACAGGACCCATACCAAGTCTTTTCTCGAATATGAAAAACATAGAGAGCTTGGACATCTCATCAAACCGGTTAAGTTGTAGAGTTTCTGCTTGTGTTGCATAATCTGGAAGTTTTCATTGTTGCCAACAACAATTTGTCACGTAGACTCCCATAAATGAAGAATGGTTTGCACTTTCACGTAGATAAGAATGTATTTTTATCTATTTGTAGTCATGGTTATTTGGTAAAAGTGCAATTGCATAAATAAAATAAAAATCATTTTCTTCCGCTAATCTATCTCATTTTTTGGACAAAATAGGTTGCAACAAAAATATGCTGCGATTGCTTTGCATGAAACAAAAAGGAAATAAAATGAATGAAAAATCTAGAGTTCTATTACAAACTAATAATATAGTTACAAGGCAATTTAGACGATTGAACTTATAATGTATTACAAATTAATGAAAAGATCGTATCTAGAGTGGTTAGTACTCTTATCAATCTCCCCTACTCTCTTCATATTACTACTCTATTGATGTTATTTTCCTCTCGATTTTTCTATCCTCTTTACACTTTTCACAACATGACTTTTGCAGTTACTCCGTCAAAACCTATGATTGACTCATTGTATGTGTAAAAGATGAACCCTGTGTGTTGATCGTAAAATCCAGACCCTATGCGTGTTTGTATGTGTACACTTAGACCGGTGTGTGTTTATGCATGTAAAACAGAGACTTGTTGTGTTTTTGTGGATGTAAAACCATACCTAGTATGCGTTTATGTGTGTAAAACGAGGTATGGATGTGTGTTTGTGTGTGTAAATACCCAAACCCAATGTTTATTTATGTGTGTACACCCCAAAACCAGTAGGGATGTGTGTTTATCCTCAATTTTTTCAATTTTTAGGGGGCTTTCCCATGAAAATAAATCTTCTTTTATTAATGTAGGTATAGTAAATAAATCTTCTTTTATTAAAAGGTTATTTAAAATAGCGTTTTGATAGCTTATTGTCACTTTTTCAATT